AGGTACAACTTTCGAATCGTGCACAGATGAGTTGTTTACATCAGGCCAGAAGGCGCTCTTCTCGCTGGTTAGTAAGCTTAAGCGACAAGGGCTTTTTGTCCCAGCTGTTGCGGTGAAAGCGTTTGATGCCCAGGTTAGGTCTATTCTGTCGTACGGGGTACAGGTTTGGGGCCCGTTAAGGGTTCTGGACATCCTGGAGCGCGGTTACCCTAACAGCCAGGAACCACGATCGTGTTATTTTGAGATTGCACTGCAAGACAGGATGGTGGAACTGCAGAAGAACTTCCTGAAGCAGTTGAGTGGTGCTGGCTTGCCAACAAATCGACTACTATTCAGAGAGTTGGGTCAATACCCTTTGCAAGTGCATTGGGCAAACCTGATTTTTCGTTTTTGGAACAGGTTGGTTGAGGCAAAAGGTTCTGTGTACCACCATTGCTTTCGGGAGGAACTGCGGTTGGCATTATCATCTGGTATGACGTATGATGGATGGGGAGCGAAAGTCCTGAAGATCCTTGAGTTGATGGGTCATAACGTGCGGACGGGTGTGGACGACTCAGGCGACATTGAGGTCAAAGTTGATGCTCTGGCGACATGTTCACTAGATGTAGGCCAGTTGATCTGTGAACTTCGGAACCGATTTGATGATGACTGGGAAAGTGAGCGGTTGACAGTGGATCCAGCTTTGTTTGTTTCAGATAATAGGCAACCAGGGGTAAAGATGTGCCGCTATAAGCATTGGATGGGTTTGCCCAAGCATGGCAACGGCTATATCTCGCCAAAACAGCACGTCACGCTGATGCGCTTCAGGATGTGTGTTTGGCCTTTGGCGGTTAATCGACCGCACGGTAGGGAACGGTCTGCCCGGTGGTGCCGGGTCTGTGGGAACCGGCAAGCTGTTGAAGATGAATGTCATGTGCTGCTAGATTGTCCTGCGTATGCGAATATCCGTTTGAAGCTTTGGGACCTGGGGGTTACTCCTGGGGACCGCACGATCGAGATTATGGGCGTCAAGGATCAACGCGGGTTAGCGCGCGTCTTGGACGACATTAGAAGATGCAGGTTGCAGTACGTTGAAGATTAATCAATCTGATATTGTTGGGTATTAGCATTTTTTCTTTTTTGAGTT